CCCAGTCCGCAGCTCCGCGCCGCCGCAACCAGTCTCACCTGGTGGCGCCGCCCGCCCGCCGCCGCCGCCGCCCCGGCCACAGTCCCTGTGCCCCCGGCGACAGCCGCGGCGACCGCGACAGCGGAGGGGGACGCCGCTGAGCCGAGGAGAACACAGCCGGGCCACCGGACCTACTTGCTCGCCTTGTTGATTGTCTATTTTTATAAGAGTTTACAACTTTTCTAAGAACTTTTGTATACAAAGGAACTTTTCTTAAAAGATCTCTCCGGTTTATTTTAATCCAAAGAAGACGGATTTTGGGCAGTGTGGGGTTTCTGATTTTGGCTTCGCTTCTAAGTCTTTTTAATCTTCATTGATTTTGGGGTTCGGGTACCCCATCTGCTGCGGGCTCCCGAGGACCGTCTGGGCCTCCACATTAATGAGGTAGGTGCGGCGCGGGCCCCGGGAGCAGGGAGGGGCGGCGGCCGGGCCGGGCCCCCCTGACTCCAGTCCTCCGTGTGCGCCCCGCCCGTCCCGCAGGCAGCCACCTGGCGAGTCTGACATGGCTGTCAGCGACGCGCTCCTCCCGTCCTTCTCCACGTTCGCGTCCGGCCCAGCGGGAAGGGAGAAGACACTGCGGCCAGCAGGTGCCCCGAATAACGTGAGTGTCGCCCCGTGGCGCTGGGAACCCCCCATGGGCTTGGGGGCGAGTGGGAGCCCTGGTGCCCTCGAGAGGCACCGGGCGAGGAGAAGGGGTGACCATGGCCCAGACTCTGCAGCCTTCTCGGCACGACTTCTGGGCGCTTGGCGGGGCTGCGTGCGTGTGGTCCCAGTGCTGCGGAGCCGTAGGGGGCGCACGCCGGGTCGGCACAGGTTCCCAGGTGGCACCGACTAGGCTCGGGTCAGCCTGGCGCGTGGGCGGTCCCGTGGCGAGGGTGCACTGGGAGAGCCACGGTGTCCCAATTCCTGGGGCGGCAGGCGGGGGAGGGACCGCGGTTGGCGAGCCGCCGCGCTCGCTCACGCTCACTCGGGCAGACACACTGAACACCCTCGACACCTTTTTCGGACCCGCTGTGGGCCAGGGTTTCGGCTCTGCCGCTGGGAGGCCCCGGGCTCTGACTGACTAGCCAGCCAATCTCCGGGCCTGGTGGCGTAGGCGCGCCGGGACCGCAGCACGCCTGGTGGTGCCGGGGGACCCGCCACTGACGGTCTCTCTGCCCCCCGCCCCCTTGTAACTCTAGCGCTGGCAGGAGGAACTCTCGCACATGAAGCGACTTCCTCCTGTGCTTCCCGGCCGCCCCTACGACCTGGCGGCGGCGACGGTGGCTGCCGACCTGGAGAGCGGCGGAGCCGGCGCGGCTTGCGGTGGCAGCAACCCTGCGCTCCTGTCCCGGAGGGAGACGGAGGAGTTCAACGATCTCCTGGACCTGGATTTTATTCTCTCCAATTCGCTGTCCCATCAGGAGGCGGTGGCCGCCACGGTATCCTCTTCGGCTTCAGCCTCATCCTCGTCCTCCCCTTCGAGCAGCGGCCCGGCCAGCGCGCCCTCCACCTGCAGCTTCAGCTACCCGCTCCGGGCCGGGGGAGACCCCGGCGTGGCGCCGGGCAGCTCGGGCGGCGGCCTCCTCTATGGCCGGGAGTCTGCGCCCCCTCCCACGGCGCCCTTCAACCTGGCGGACATCAACGATGTGAGCCCTTCGGGCGGCTTCGTGGCTGAGCTCCTCCGGCCCGAATTGGACCCAGTGTACATTCCGCCGCAACAGCCGCCGCCGCCAGGGGGCGGGCTGCTCGGCAAGTTCGTATTGAAGTCTTCGCTGAGCGCCCCCGGCAGCGAGTACGGCAGCCCGTCAGTCATCAGTGTTAGCAAAGGCAGCCCCGACAGCAGCCACCCGGTGGTGGTGGCGCCCTACAGCGGCGGGCCGCCGCGCATATGCCCCAAGATCAAACAGGAGGCGGTCTCGTCGTGCACCGTCGGCCGGCCCCTGGAGGCCCACCTGAGCGCCGGACCTCCGCTCAGTAATGGCCACCGGCCTCCCGCACACGACTTCCCCCTGGGGCGGCAGCTCCCTACCAGGACTACCCCGACCCTGGGTGCCGAGGAACTGCTGAGCAGCAGGGACTGTCACCCGGCGCTGCCGCTGCCCCCTGGCTTCCATCCCCACCCCGGGCCCAATTACCCACCCTTCCTGCCAGACCAGCTGCAGACGCAGGTACCACCGCTCCATTATCAAGGTCAGTCCCGGGGACTTGTGGCCTGGGCTGGGGAGCCCAGCGTGCGCCGACCCTCTGGGGCGCACGGGGTGATGCTGACCCCACCCTCTTCACCCTTAGAGCTCATGCCACCGGGTTCCTGCATGCCGGAGGAACCCAAGCCAAAGAGGGGAAGGAGGTCATGGCCCCGGAAAAGAACGGCCACGCATACTTGTGATTATGCTGGCTGCGGCAAAACCTACACGAAGAGTTCTCATCTCAAGGCACACCTGCGAACCCACACAGGTAGGTGTGCAGAAATTGTGGGAAGGAGAAAAGTTGGTATGGAGCCCCGTAGGCAAACTGGCCACACCTCAGGCCTCCCTTGAGATGTGGGGTGCGCTCTGTCTTCTTTATCTCCTGGGATCACAGGGAGGACAGCCAGCCAGGCGCCTCCTTTTTGCCCAGGAGCCTTTTACTGGAGGGATGGTAGTTGTGCTTGGAGGTGCTGTTTTGTTAGGCCTTTAAAAGGCAGGGAGGTTCCCCCTCTGGACCGCTTGGCTTAAGGAGAGTTGCCCTTGTAATCATGACATTTTGCAGTGCACAAGCAGCAAAGCTTTTTTAAAAAATCGCTTTTTAATTTTCTAGACGATTTTCGGTGGCCATTTCCTTCCCAGTGTCACTCCCCTTGGTGGTGTTAGTTCCTGAGTTAATAGTAAGGTTTTATTTAAAGTTTGAGAAGTTAATGTGACTGAGGAGTGTCACTGCAGAGTATTTCCTGGTTAATGAAAGGTACATATTGTCATTTAGGTGTCGTTTTCATTAAAGTAACAAATGTTGGTAACTGAAAGATAGCGTCCTGTAGTGTTAGGCTGAACTGTTAGTGGGATTTAAAGGAGCCCTGATGATGCAGCGGCTAAGCGCTCGGCTAACCAAAAGCCACTCTGAGGGAGACAGATGTGGCGGTTCTGCTTCTCCAAGATTACATCCTGGGGAACTCGATGGGGCAGTTCTACTCTGTTCTGTAGGGTGGCTATGAGTCAGAGTCGATGGCAGCGGGTTTGGTTGGTTTGGTTGTGGGACTGGATGTTACTGCTTAGTTTGGGCAGGGAAAGATAAGATACATCACCAGTCACAATTTCCAGTATGATGTCCCAGCTCAAATGATTGAGAATGTTGGCCATGTAGAAGTGCAACATGCATGGGCTTAGGTGGTGGTGGTGGTTCACTGCTTTGCTATGTGGTGCTCGCCTAAAAACTACCAAGACACGTAACGTATTCTTCCTATCTAAGACCTGAAAATTAAATATGGCCCTTCAAAAGAATAAGGATATTCCCGGATCCTTTCAGAATGGGGCATAGGGAGTTGGTTTAATATTTGGCCTTTACTTTTGGAACGGCCAGTTCTTCACTGTCACAGTGGCTTCAATGGCTTTTTTGGTACCCCCTTTTCATAGGTGAGAAACCTTACCACTGTGACTGGGACGGCTGTGGGTGGAAATTTGCCCGCTCCGATGAACTGACACGGCACTACCGCAAACACACCGGGCACCGCCCCTTCCAGTGCCAGAAGTGCGACCGGGCGTTTTCCAGGTCGGACCACCTTGCCTTACACATGAAGAGGCACTTTTGAATCCCAGACAGTGGCTGTGACCCACATTGCCAGAAGAGAATTCAGTATTTTTCCCTTTCACACTGTCTTCCCGGGGAGGGGAAGGAACCCAGCCGGAAAGCACTACAACCATGGTCAAGTTCCCAACAGAGTCACCTTGTAATGGATAATCAGGAGACATGCGGAAACCAAAAGACGAAAAATTAAAGAACTGATAGGGCCTGTGACTGAATCTTCTATCATTCCAATCCAAATCCAACTTGAATATTCCTGGACTCAGAAAACGCCAAGGGGGATGACTGGAAGTTGTGGATATCAGGGTATCAAATAGATCCATGAATTGGGGGGAGGAATGGAAACACATTCCCTTGAATTGTGTTTGATGCAATAGAAGTATAAAGATCACCTTGTATTCTTTGCCTTCTAAAAGCCATTATGATGTTAGAAGAAAAGGAAGAAATTCAGGTACAGAAAATGTGTTTAGCCTAAATGATGGTGCTTAGTGAGTCTTGGTTCTAAAGGTACCAAACGAGGAAGCCAAAGTTCTCAAACTGCTGCATACTTTGACAAGGAAAATCTATTTTTGTCTTCCGATCCACGTTTATGACCTAAGTCAGGTAAATACACCTGGTTTACTTCTTTAACATTTTTTTATGCAGACAGTCTTGTTGTATGCACTGTGGTCTCAGATGTGCAATAATTTGTACAATGGTTTATTCCCAAGTATGCCTTAAGCAGAACAAATGTGTTTTTCTATATAGTTCCTTGCCTTAATAAATATGTAATATAAACTTAAGCAAACTTCTATTTTGTATATTTGTAAACTACAAAGTAAAAAAAAATGAACATTTTGTGGAGTTTGTATTTTGCATACTCAAGGTGAGAATTAAGTTTTAAATAAACCTATTTTATCTGAACATTGATTTTGTTTTGTTTGTTTTCCCTGAAAAAACATGTAACAGAAACGTCATTTTTAAACAGTGGAGTAACAGGTGTGCAAAGAACACCAAAAAGCTTGCTTTCTCTCAACAGAGCTTCAGAACCACAAGGGTTTAGTTTTACAGTATAGTGCTGAGAACTCTGAGTCCTGGAAATTACGGAATTATCTTAAACTCACCCAGCTCAGGTCAGCTCTTCTCAGATGGACTTGTCTGCTGGTATTTGGGAAAAAAAAAAAAAAAAATGTGACAGACTTTCCAGGTCAAAACAGCATCACCATTTTTGAATTTGCCATGTTGGAATGAAAGTATTCATAAACATACCCATTTCAGTTTTACATTTTAAAAAGCCTTTATGGCTCGTCTTCAACTAAAATTAAAAATACAAAGACCGTCTTTGCAGAGGCCTGGTTTTGTACTCAAAACAATTTGTGTAACTAAAGAACCTGCCCATTGAAGACAGCCCTAAGAACATAGTTCCACAGTGCCCTCCTGAGGATCCAAAGATTCACTGGCTTTGCGTGTTACTGACAGGTTACTTCTCAAGATGCGGAGGCCAGACTTCAGCAGTCAGTCTGGTTGGATGGCAAACAGACTGGGAATTTCCAAAACTAATTGCAAAGTAGATTTAAGTGATTTTATAAGTTTGTAGCATATCTGTACTCGAACTTATTAAAGCTTAGAATTGCCCTGAGCCTTTTGGGTTACTGTCTTATACTCTCATGTGTTTTAAAGTGGGTACCTAAGAGTTTGAAGTTCATTGTGGCTGTGAAATGGAAAAACATTTGTGACACTTGTTGACACTGATCTACTTGTAATGGTAACGTGGGTGACTAATACTTAACATCAAGAGGATGGAGCTGACTGGTATTTTCTTTAAAGTGCTTATTAACTATCCTTTACATCTACTGTCCAGAGGTGCGTTTGCATTGTGGGTGCATTTTATAAATGGAAAAAAAAAAAAAATTCACGAGGCTCATGGGAGATCAACACCAAGTATTTTCCTTGGCTTATGAGAGTCCAGCATGACTGGAAAAAATGGCATGTGTCTTTGCTTAAAAGAAAACAGGTGCATCAATAGATGGAATTTTATGTGGCCAAGAACATATTCAAAGCATATTTAATGACATGGAAAAATGCTCATGGTATGTTAAGTGGAAAAAGCAGGATCTGAGACTATAAACAGCATGAGTCCAATTGTGTACATTTGAATGCATGTGTGCCCGCTGAAGGGAACAGAGAACAATGGGCAAAGAAGAGACTGGAAGGAAGCACCGGAATTCTAATCCCCGTCTCTCTGTTTAAATGCTCTCTTCTACAGTTTGCAAAAATTCTAAAATAAGCACCTATTTAAAATAAAGAAACATTTACTTTTTCAGCATGCAGGTGAAAATACTTAGGTTTTATTTTTAAAAGACCACTGAAAGCTATTTAAACAGAAAAGAACCTGCATTCTAACACTCTGTTGGCATTAAGTTGGGGCTGGTGGCTCTGGTAACCTACTTCTCTGACACAGATCCCTCTGGCACATAGTAGGTACACAAAAAGGGTTTGCTTGACCGTGGTTGCCATCTTTGTTAAGTGCCTATTACCGCAAATCAATTACTTCACATTGACTAAGGAGCTCTGGCCTAGTGGGTAAGGCATCTGGCTGCTAACCTGAAGCGCAGTTAAAGCCCCCAGCTGCTCCCCAAGAGGCAGTCCACTTCCCTCAAGATTTACAGCCTTGGAAACCCAAAGGGGTTCGCTAGGAGTTGGAATCTACTCAACGGCAGTGGGTTGGGTTTTTTGATTTTATTATAGGTTGAAGAAACATCATAAACTATCAAGAGATTTTTCATGTATTCAAATTTTTCTGATGTCACAGGGAAACTTCACTGCGCATTAACAGTCTTTAACCTGAAAAGGCAAGCGTCTCTATCTATATGGAATGGAAAACATTTTCCAAAAGGACCAAACACTGCTCAGCGCACAGCTAAGCCTGCTGTAGCACCTGTCGGTTCTGAGCTCCTCGGTGGACTGTCATCAGGGAATTACAAAGCCATTTATACTGTATAATAAACAGTACCTAATACTTGAGTTGCCTGCTGATTGCATTTTCCCAATGACATTTATTTTTATATACCCTAGTTTTAACCTGCACACACACACACAAAGGATTAACAACAGTGTTGCCTCACATAATGGACTGTCGCTCTACCTCTTCTCCAGCAAAATACTCAAGCCAAAAACATGTTTGACTCTTGCAACTTTGTTTGGATTTGCGGAGACAAAACAGGTCCCTTCGCCATCTCAAAGACGATAGTTGAGGGAACAATTCTTTGCCTTTCAAAAACGGTTCCTGGTTTTTAGAAACATGACCTACTATTTCGTGGTAGGGGGTTAACACTTTTTATATAAAAGATAGTCCAAGTGAACCCCATCTGGAGCCCTGGAAGCAAGGGGACAGAGAGAGTATTCACGAACCCCAGCACCTTCGGTACACAGGAGTACCTCAACCTGGCAGCCTATGTCAGCCACCTGTTCTGTGTTCTGGCTTCTGACATGCCACTCAACCCAACAGCAGACAAGCAAGTGGATTTGCAGACCGAATTCTCTCCCTCCTTCTCCCGCTCATAACACATACACACCGCACAATGCTAGAGAAACCTTTTTATTTTATGTATTTTCAAATTAATTATGTCTTATTTTGTTATGGATTCTATTCTACTTTTTTTATTTTACTTCTTCATCTTTTTCGCACCTTCTACAGGCTATTGTATAACGACATGCTTTTATAAATGTGCTAAACCGAAGCTAGGCCTGCCTCCTAAAGGCTGTTGATGAAACTATCATTCATGGCTCACACACAGAGTCATTCGGTGTTTCACATAAAACCCCCAGCTCTCTCTACATGACGTGGAATATACCACGGACCTTTCTATATGTGGAAACCCAAAGGAACAACGGTTACAATTAGAGCGCCTTATGAAGATAAATTAGAGCCATTTCCTTTCACGTGAAGTGAAACTAAAATGAAAGTTGGAACAAACACCTTTGGAAAGCCTTTCCCTGAAACATAAGTGAATTCTGAGTTAACTGCTTACTGTCTCCTGAGAAAGTGATAAATTCTTAAATCCTTATGAAGTACCTAGTAGTTCCATGCCACGATAGAACTACAAAATACAAAATACAGAGAAAACCAATTGCTACAGTTTTAGCCTAAACAGAAAATCTTGGGGCTGGAACCACAGCCGGGTCAGTTGATTGGGGTGGGGGAGGAGACGCGGGGGAAGGAACGTTGGTCAAGTGGATTCTCTGGAATCGAGTCCATCTGGAGGCTGTTCTCTCGTTTGCCAGGATGCCCTTAATACAGTATCACATCTACAAATTGCTTCAGGGCTTCTCGACACCCCAGATGAGTCAGCATGTTGCAACTGTCCTGCCCAGATAGCCTCTCCACTTGTTCTTAAAGGAAAAGGAAACAAATAGGACCCAATAACAACGAAAAGTAAACTCACACAGTCCCTTCACCGTCTCCTCTGATTCTACCGAACAGAACCGGCTTTGCGCTGACGCCCCACAGTAATTATAATGCCACCCCACAGTGTGCGGGTCACTGGACGTCTTTTCGCTTCTTTTCATGTCTGTGTTATTTGTTACTCACACAGAGCAAAGAGGGAGAGAAGCAGATTGTGATAGGTGGGTGGGTGGGTGGGTGGATAGATAGAGCCTCTTGTACAGGTTTGACAGTCATGCAGTCAAATCAATTAATGCAGTCCAATCTTTCCACTCAAGGTGTCTCAGGCCAGGAATTTACTGGGTTAGGATACCTAACTCACCTATAATGTTTTAATCTAACTAACTGGCATGGCATTAACATAGTACTGAATAGAAGCCAATTCCCCATGACACAGGCAAACTGCATGCATCCAGGTGCTATTCCTGCATACCCACTTAAAAGATAAAATAAATAACTTTAAGAAAAACTGAAGGAACCCTGGTACACTTGCTGGAAGCCCAGGAGATACATTAATTTGCGTGAACCATGGACGCCGGGGTCTGCCCCTTAGACACATGCGTACAGGGACAGGCAGAAGGGATTTTCTCAGTGGGGGTGAACAAGAACACTCAGCGTGGACCCAGGTCACTTTTATGGGATACAGTAGCCCCTCACTTCTGTACAGTTCCTGGAGGTTGCTAAAGAATTGACACGCTCCATTTCCTCCATCCTCACAAGAGGCAGGGGTGGGAATTCCTTCTCCTGTCCCCACTTTACAAATGAGGAAACTGAGGTTCCCTTTACAGGTTAGTGTTTTGTTTTGCTTCTCAGTCTTGCTGACATACTCAAAGCATTTCTCTTCTAATACTTTTGTCTTCAGTTGGCTGGGCAGGTAAGGCTACAGGCAAAATGGATACACCCCAAGACAGAAGGATTTGCTAACACCAACTTCTAGTAAACCTGTTTAGGAGTCAAAAGCCCTAGACTTTCTGCCTCCCAGTTAGTGTTCAATCTCCTTTGTCAAGGCAGACTGCTGGCGAAGCTCAAGTTTCCTGCAGATGTTCCTTGAGCCCATTCTATGCCATGAATACCATCTACACTTTGGCTTCTGAGGAGGAAGAGTGAGTTCCCCTTTCCATCCTCACCTCTGGCCCGGTCTAACCTGCACGCAGTGTTCCTGGTCAGCAGACCTAGTTAAGCCCCTCCCCCACTCTTTACCTTCCCACCATCCCTAGTGCCTAGTAACAGGGATAAAGATATGACTTGGTCACTCTTCCAACTGTGCACCCCAGATGCTGTCCGGCGGCCTCTCCAGTCACTGATCAATGTCTGCACCATGCCAAACCACTCTTGCCCCGCCCCTCGGTCCACCTCACCACGTACCTGCAGGTTCTGCCTTTCAACCTTTGCCTGCAGGTGCTGGGCTCTGCTGCTTCTGGGGAGGAAGGTCCACAGTCCCTTGCAAGAGCCTGTATAGTCTTCAAAGTCCAGGTCT